CCTGCCCAGACCACTGAAGCAGCAGGATGTGATCTGCCCCACTGAAAAAAGGTACTGAGCTACATGGCTAACATAGATCAGAAAAATGGGTTAATCAAGATGTGAGAGTTAGCCAGTGAGAGGCTAGAACTTTGTAGACCAGGTAGGCCTCAAACTCACAGACATCCACCTGCCTCTGTCTGTTCCTTATCTATATACTAACAGTAGTATGTGATCAAAACTGTCTGTAATGGTTCTACCCATTGAGTTTATCACCTTGTTTGCCATATTACCCTTTCTTAGTTTAACATGTCACAGCTAACCTAGTAGGATTAGAATAATCCATATAAATAGCACACACATATCCATACACATATGCATATTTTCTAGATCTGTTGTTAGCCCTTCCTTCACTTTATGGTTTCATTTCAATTTTAAGTCATATCAAGAGTCTCTTGATCTTCAGTTAAGAAAATTAGGGTCTAATACAATATGGAAAGATCCTATTGTGCATGGAAGAAGAAGAAGAAGGAGAAGGAGAAGGAGAAGGAGAAGGAGAAGGAGAAGGAGAAGGAGAAGGAGAAGGAGAAGGAGAAGGAGAAGGAGAAGGAGAAGGAGAAGGAGAAGGAGAAGGAGAAGGAGAAGGAGAAGAAGAAGAAGAAGAAGAAGAAGAAGAAGAAGAAGAAGAAGAAGAAGAAGAAGAAGAAGAAGAAGAAGAAGAAGAAGAAAGACAGATCAGAGTGAGTCCTCAAAATCACAAGTAGGGGAAATCTGAGGAGCCACACTGGGTGGGAGGCTCCCAGTGGCATTGGTGCAGGGCTGTCTACACAAGTCTGTAGTAAAGCTAAACACATTCCATTGCTTACTTGGGATGCTGTATTCTATTTCTTGCTTCTCAATTTTAGAGAAACAAATGAAAATGGAAATGTTCTGAGATAATGACGATGATTAGGCACCCAGAAAATGTTCCTCTTTGGAGCAAAGTCTGAAGAAACTTAAACTGTTGAATTCAATTTCTAAGATGTTTATGGAATTATTAAAAGGACAATTAAAAAGATGAAGACATACGTTGTGGGTACTGTCAATTGGCTGTTCTCTGCTTAGGAATGCATGAAAAGTATGCATGAAAAGAACTCCAATGGCAACCTGTATCATGAGGGGGCCTGGCTTGTTTGTAGGGGGCTGTTCTTCAAGACCGAGACCTGCACTGTAGCCCAGGTTTGCCCAGAACTCACTGCATATCCTCAGCTAACCTCAAACTCATATAGCTTCCCCCACCTCAGCCTTCTAAATCCTGAGATTACAGAGTGCACCACCACCACCACCCCCAGTTTAGGGAGTAATCTTTTTTTTTTCCCTGAGACAGAGTTTCTCTTTGTAGCCCTGGCTGTTCTTGGACTCTCTTTGTAGACCAGGCAGGCCTCAAACTCACAGACATCCACCTGCCTCTGGCTCCAGAGTGCTGGGATTAAATTAGGAGTAATCTGTAAAGCATTCAATATTGGGGCCAGGGAGAGGGCTCAGCACTTGCTGCTCTTCAAGAGCAGCTCACAGCCATCTGTAACCTCGCTTCCAGGGGATCCTAAGCCCTCTTCAGGCTCCAGGCATGCACTTTGTACACAGACAAACATGCAAGCAAAACACCCATACAAAAGACAGACTCGTCTTTCTATAAAAGATTTCCTAATGAAACAGGACATAGGCTTTAGAACCAGGACGAGATCAGGCATTGTAATGTAGTTGTGCATTGTAATTGGTCCTTTTGGATAAGACACTGAAACTTTGAACCTCACTTTGTTCACCTGTGAATGGGTCTAGTTAAGTCTGGTTGTCGGGGTTGTTAATGGAGTTTAGATATCATAAAATGCCCGGCCAAAATAGGTACCCATTGAACATCAGTGTCTTGTAACAACTGTTCTGGCATGACTCCAGAAAATATACTCTGATACCATGGAGTGCCCTGGCATTCCTCTGCCTTACAGGGTTTTGCTGTGATGTCCCGGTCACATGTTTATTTGGGGAAATGACACCTTTAAAATGTTAAGCAGACTGTTGATATTTGTTGGCTGTACTCCTGTCGTCTTTCCTTCAGCTTGGCGCTATAGGCAGCCTGCCTCCCGTTTCCATGCATGCGCCTTCCACACTCATCACAACTATGCTGTGGAGAAGGCAGCCTGGAGAGCTCCCAGTCCCTCGGTCAAGTCCCAAGTCAAGAGCATTATCAGAGGATGGTCCCAGGTGTCCCTGAAAGGGCCTGTCCTTACCACTAGGCATGGAGTACTCAGCTCAGAGCCATTCTAGTATTTTCTTTTGGAATGCTTGGTGATGTTTGAATATTAATATAACCCCTGTTGTTAATTTAATCCTTTTACTGCCTTGAATGATGATCTGTTTTTTGCTTGTTTGTTGTTGTCGTTGTTGTTGTTTTTCGAACAAGGTTTCTCTGTAGTTTTGGAGCCTGTCCTGGAACTAGCTCTTGTAGACCAGGCTGGCCTCGAACTCACAGAGATCCGCCTGCCTCTGCCTCCCGAGTGCTTGGGATTAAAGGTGTGCACCACCACAGCCCAGCTAATGATGATCTGTTTTAAGAGCAGTGTTATCTCTGTTGTACCTAGGGGCAAGAACAATGACTGTGCGTCCCTCACCAACCTGGGTTCCTCCCATCTAAAGGATATTTTCTTCATTTTACTCGGGAGTTGCTGTTTCCTTGAGGGTCAGTGTCAAACCCCATTGTCCTAAGTCAGGCTTTCAGACAGGCTGGCTCCCTGCATTTTGTCACATCAAAAAAATTCCCTTCTGTTGTCACACTGCGGCCAAGTCAGGCCTTCAATAGTAGAGACACCCTGACTAAGATTCACGAAAGACTCTATCAGTTTCATTTGATGAAAACGAATCTGTTAATTGTCAGAAGCAGGTGCTCTGATTATCTTTTAGAGCTGAGGAGATAGCTGGAATTGCCTTTTTGGTTACCTTTTGTTCTATTCAACTAACTCTGCTGGATGAAAAGATTTTCAGACTCTGACTTTCAAATTTATACATACCAATTTAGTTTCATCTCTAAGAATTAGCACTTACTTCAAGTTACATTTTAATCCATGAAAACTGACTCAGAAGGTGCTTCTTCATCAAAACATTGCTTTCACCCCTCTCCCAGCTTCAGCCTGAGCCCTGCCATCCCTACAGCACTTCCTCCCCCTCTCACCCCATCTCTCCGTGCTGCACTGCAGAGATCTTAGCCCAACTCCGCTCCACCAGGAGCCTGCTATTTAGGGTTAGTCCTGCCTTCTCCCCACCAGCCCAAGTCCTTGACAGAATCTGAACGAGTAAGTCCCGGAATCTCTTCTGCACAGGGTGAGTTTTCCTTATGTTCAGCACAGTATTGTTGTTGTTCGTTCATCAATATCAAACATTTGGCGCTCACAAACCATTCCTTCTACCTTCTATCCTTTGAAAATATAATAGTGTTTTTATTTCATCGCATCAGCATCAGTCTTTGTTTATTTCCATGATCCGGGCAACATTGAGGCTCTGACCAGCCTGTTAAATATTTCCCCACGAGGTGGCTATTGGCATATGAAACAGCAGCACTTATCAGTGTGTGACACTGGGCCTTAGGTCATGTATCCTGACACGCTAAGAAAGTTAAACGAGTGGTGAAGCTAGCATCTTTTTTTGTTTTGTTTTTCAAGACAGGATTTCTCTGTGTAACAGCCTTGGCTGTCCTGGAACTAGCTCTGTAGATCTGACAGGCTTCGAACTCACAGAGATCACCTTCCCCTGCCTCCTGAGTACTGGGATTAAAGGCGTGCGCCACCACTGCCTATCACAAGCATTCTTTTAAAATGAGCCCAGTTAAAACTCTTTTTCATAACATCTCACAGCTAAGTGGTTCAAAGGTAAATTCCAAGAGTGGTCAGTTCATCGCATCCCAAATCAGGCAAATCTGGTTGTTGAGGTGTGGGTGAGTGCTGCTGGAGTATGGAGATAAGAGGAATGCTGGCCCACCTGCTCTGCAGATGAGTGCTCCTGGAGATAGCCCTGCACCTCCGTATCTGCTTCAGTGATCTTCCGAGTGCCTCGGGATCTTTCTCCCCATCAACATCCTGCCCTGAGGACTTCAGCAGCCACACCAGCTGTTCTTCCCAACCCTGTAGCCCTTTATGATTAAATTAACCCTCCTCTCAGGAAGCAAAGTATGTCAGCAAAATATGAGGGGTGCTAGTGCAAGCATATAGACCTGCCTTCTAATCTTGGTTTGACCGCTGACTAGTTGTGCAAACCTGAGATAATTTCCTGTGCCCTCCAAGCCTTGCTTTCCTAACCTATAAAGTTAGAGCAATTCTCTCTTCAAGCTGTAGGAAAGGCTAAATTAGACAATGTGATGGAAGAGCAACAAGTATCAGTTCTTGATAACCAGAGAAATGGGCCTGGCAGCAAGAGTAGAGTCTTCATACCTCTTTCATTACAGCACCATAAGCAGTTTTTGTTTGTGGCCTTTTTTCCAGAATGACACAATTCAAACACAGAATAAGAAAGTGAGAGAGATAGAGATAGATAAAGGAGGGGAGAAGAGAGAAACTGGAGGATTGCCTGCAGACTATTTTCCTTTTATACAATTTAACAAATGGTTAAGGAGCTGTCCTGTATATACAAGCCAAAAGCCCACTGCAGTCAGTCAGTTCCAGGAAACTCTCCAAATTAGTTTACCTGTTTTGGAAATTTTGTAATACCAATGATCATTTATCTGAGTAAGCTGTGAGTTGCCTGGATCTTACTTTAGTTTTCTACATTATATGTATATTTAACCAGTAATCAAAAGCCATAAATATTGAACTCTTGTTAGTGCAGCAGAATGAATTAAAATATAGGCATTTAGTGATAACGTGAAGCTCATAGTCCCAATCCCATTAACCCAAGTCAGCTGGCAGCCAGGCTGTGATGCGACGCCAAGTCTGCTTGGGGCGTCATGGCCTCCCTTGTCTCGGCTCTAAGACAAGTCCCTTGTGCTTTTGTTCTTTCAGTGCACTCGGCGGCTCCTCAGCTCTTCATATCCCTGCTTTCCCAGGAGAAGGATGTCTCATTGATTATGTGCCGCAAGTGTGCCACCTGCTCACCAACAAGGTAAAAGCAAGTCCCTGACCTGTGCCCTGTAAGAGTCCCTCCTTAATGGATCATGCTCCACTGTTGCTAGGTCCTAAAATCTTTCTCAGGGGAGGGGGTAAAAAAGCCTTTGTCAACAACCACAGATGCTGGAAGTCAGGTAGAAGATTTAAAGCAGACTCGTTTGTTTAATAACAGGGAAAAACTTACATACCCTCCCAGCACCCAAGCTGTATGACAGTTGACAGTTGACATTACATGTTTGTCTCGCATTGGCTAGGCACGACGGGACCTTTGACAACTCCAGGCAGACTCCAGGTTGGCTACTTTTGGTCTGGCAGGCCTTTTCTTCCCACATATCCACCCTTTTTGATTTATCACATAGGGCACTCAGCGGGAGCCAGAGTTCTTTGCTCGGGCCTTGTTGATTGTGCCTATCTTAGGTTGGCCTGCCGAACAAACTCTTACCCATCTTTGACTACCAGCTCTCGAAGAGCATTCATTCCTGGAGAGCTGTCAGGGTGAGGGATACTAGGCAGTAGCCTTTTGAATTACAAATAACCAGACCTGCGCAACCTCCTGTGGAAGCCTGCCAGACC